TCTCTCACAATATGTCTCTCTTTTTTACAGCTATACATTATATATAACAAAATTGTCATAAAATATATATATATATATATATATATATATATATATTATATGACAATTATGTTATATAATAAGTAGAGCTGTCAAAACGAGACATAATTTGTGAGACAATTATTCAGTCCACCACTAGTTTGAGCCAGGTTAGACTAAAAAAAATTTACAAATTTCAATATTGTTAGAAATTTAACCTGACTCGCCTAAATTGAACTTGTGGTAAGTCGGATTAAGTCACGAATACTCTAAAATGGATACAAAATTAATGGAAAGTTGGGAACCAAATAAGTTGTGTAATTCTTTTTCTCTCTTTCTTTCATTTTTTTTTTAATTATTATGCTATAAGTGTGAATCACTTGATATTTTCCAATAATTTTCTTCTTCTTCCAATCATATATGAATTTAACATACTACTATAGTCAATTTAGTGTTAGGATACAAATAAGATCTCATCAATAAAATAAGAAGAGAAACAATAACTTATAAAGCATATACATATTTTAATGATTAAGAAACTTTTTTTATGGTAACTAAAAACAAAATCATGAGATCTCAAGCCTAAAGCGGATAATATCTTACCATTGTAAAGTTATGTGTGAAATGACCTTATAAACATAACAAAGTTATAACCTTCCTTTTGATATAAAATATCCTCTCAGATAAATATTATAAAATAATTTCAACACTTGGTGATAGAGAAAGATTAGAATAAAATACATGATGTCTCAAGTTTAAATCTTATTAAACTTCAATGATTGAGAGTTTTTTTTTTGTGATAACCAAAAAGTAAAATTGTAAAGACTTAGGTTTAGAGTAGACAATATCTCACTATTGTGGAGTTGTGTGTGAAATAACCTTATAAACATAATAAATTTATAACCCTCTTCTTTATATAAAATATCTCCTAAGATAAACACCATAAAATAATCCCCTCAACACTTAGTAATTGAGAAAAATTAAAATAAAATACATAATGTCTCAAGTTTAAATCTTATTAACATCATTTAGGTCAAAAAGGAGTCTAATTGAGTTAAACTCGATTTATCTTGACTCGATTTGATAATATTTAACCTAATTTGAAATTTGATTGAAGTTCGACATAAATTTTATTTTTAACTTAAACTTGACTCAATTTAAACTTGTTAACAATTCGGTTTAACTCATTAGTTTGACTCATATAAATCAAAAGTTAATTTTTTGAATCTTATTCATTTCAAAATTTTTATTTATGAATAAATTTTAGATAAAATGGTTATTTAATTTTTTTTATAAAAAAAAACATAACTTGTTCTATTAGTTTTATAAAATTACAAGATATGACTCAAATAATTATAACCAAGCATGCATAAATTAAAATCTATTTGACGTGTAGTTGTTTGTTGATAAATGGTAGAGTCACTAAAATACTGTAGTTGGTCAATTCACGCAACTTCTAATACTTTAAAGATTGAGATCATTCTGAATATAATATCAGTGTTTAATTTTCTTTAAAGTAATTACATCGTTTAATTTTTACGCATGATTTTTTAACTAGAGACGTGTAGCGTAGGAAACAAACTACTCTTAAATATATCTTTCCAAAGTTACAACCAAAAATAATTTTAATAAGATAGGGACTAGGGAGCAATCAAGATTTTATTGTCACCGTTTATAAATTTTCACGTGTGTCTGTAACTTCTTGATACGACCACGGCTAAGGTGGTCAAGTGTAATATGTTTGCTTAGTTCAATTTTTCTGACCCAGCAAGTAACCACCAATCCATGTGCGACCAAAAAGTACACGAAACAATCTCACAAAGTTAAATTCCACATCTCACTCTAAATTTCATAGTTAAATTTATTAGACATCGCGAGGTTATAGGTGGAATTTATTAAATAAAAAATGTAACACATAATTTCTTGAGTTTTGATATATTTCAATCAATAATTATAAATTCAAAAGAATGACACATTTTTCCCATCCAAAATAAACTATATTTGATAAAATCAAATAATTAAAAAATAATTTGCATATATGCACCAATGGTATAAATTATTTTTAGTTTGTCATTCAATCGCAACTTGTTGGGTACAACAATTTTGTAACTTTAAATTTTACAATAAAAGACATTCTAATGATGATGATTTAAAAGTGCATGAAAATTAATCTCAAAATCAATATATCTTACAATTTTTTGTCTTCATTTTGGGAGAGAATTTTTATTAAAGTAAATAATAATTAATGTATGAATCCGTGAACTGCAGGGTTGAAAGTGTTAATAATGGAAAGAAAAATTCCAATGCAGTTGACGGTTAGAGAGAAGAGACCTTAAGAACTGTATATAATACTTGAGAAGATTCTGCTAGAAAGGAGACAGACATCTCTTTCCCCTTCTCACAAATTGAGCTTCAACTAGTCATGAATTACTAAGATTAGAAATATAAAAATATGAAACGGCTTGGTGGCTGAAGTGAGATATGAATAGCAAAAGGAAGGCCTTCTTCCTTCATAAAAGTTTATTTTTCTTGAACAAGGGGACAATACTCGGGGTACCACATATTGCCTCTAACATATTCCACGCTATCCTCCTGCAACCATGAGTTAGCACTTAGCAGCAGCAGCAGCAGAATATAAGTCAAACCAAGCTAGCACTCACATGTTGAAAACTAAGTCACTCTCCCTCTGATACCATGCAAAATGCATTCTACTCGACCAAAATATGAGTTTATAAAGCTTTCGAAAGTTTCTCTACTGAAAATTAAAGGTTTTTATAAGTAAAAAAACTCTAAATAGCTTTTTTAAATTTGTATTCAATCAGTCTCTATGTAATGTATTATCAGTGAACTGAATCTAAAATTTCCTTACTTTTGACATGTTTTCAAGTTCCTTGACGCCTGCATCACCTTGTCCTTCAGCCTGCCCTTCGGCAACTGCTGCACGTAGAACAGCAGCCCCAACCTCTGCTGTAACATTTCGTATACTGTAGAACAAAGTAGCATTGATTAGAGAAGGCCACATCATCAACCATTGAGAATCATTTATTATCTGCCAGCACAACTAAATATCCAGACATTGTATTTTTTAAAAATTGTGGGTAAATGTCTTCTTAAGTCTAAACCATATTATAAAACCTTATATTTGAGAAATTGCTGATTACGATGAGTAAACCATAACTATATTGTTAGGTTCGGAGAATAAGTTTTAGTGTGTCTATACAAATTGAATTTTATTTTGAGTAGATCGTCACTTTGGTCACTAATTTTGAAAGATCCTGTCATATTAGTCTATAAAACTAAGAAAATCTCAAATAAATTTTAAAAAATGCAAAATTGACATTCATATTAGTCCAAAACTCAAAAAGTGTGACTATAGTGATAATATATATATATTCAAGGATCAAAATGAAAGTAAGTAGTTTAATTTATTGACTTATTTGACATTTTAGGAACTTATTTAATATTTTCTTAGTTGCAGAGACTAATGTGACAGTACTCCCCACTTTTGGAACTAAAGTGATTGTTTACTCATTTTATTTCTCATAGTAGTTCAAAAAGGGGCCAGGGAAAAGGAGAACAGTGAGAAAATGAAATGATAATAACAAGAAAAGAAGGGAACATTACCAGTCAATGGATGGATACAAGATTCCTTTTTGGACATCTTCATCTGTCATGTATGAAGCAAGGCTGGAAGGATGACAACATGTTAGTAATTTATTTAAAAGGCACTGAGTAACGTCACTTGAGAGGGGGAGTTATTTACTACTGTGTGGCAATGTTATTGTCTATCCAAAAAATGTAATAAGATTTTCAGCATACAACTTTTGGAAGAAATGTGCTGGAGATGAAAAATAGTGCAGAGCCTATGGAGAGTACAGACTGCAGAGGACTATCATGTATGTTAACATTTACGACTTAACAGTTTACATAAAAATCCTCACCATATTGCACTGTTATATACATGCGTGAAAAAAGAATTGTCCAGACAACAGGACATATAACGAAAACATTTCAAAGAGAGGTGGCAGAAAACAGACGAAATAATTAGACAACACACAGTACAAGGACAGACTGCTCAATTGTTAAGCCAAACACCAGAGCAGCCCTACAAACATCAAGAAAATAATTCACTAGACTTTCATCGATGTCAAGGTTAACAGATTTTGGTAGAACAAAATAAGCGTCCAAATTAAGTATACCATTGAGCAGCTGCTTGCAACATTCCATCCGTTATATGATGAGCACCTGATAGAAGTGTCCCCAAACCAATCCTGAAATGAAATGTTGCAATAGAAATTATGCCAGTGTTTCCACTCAGTGACATGATTCATGAAAAAATATAAGCCACAAAGGCACGCCTACCCTGGGAACAGGTACATGTTGTTGGCTTGATTTACGTGGCCAACTTGTCCATTTCCTGAACAAAAATTCATTTGGAGGTTGTGGTAAAACATAATATTGAAGATCAACCAAAATATATAACAAGATTCATCCTATAATAAAGACTCCATAGCTGAAGAAAGTTCGAACTAGACAAGATACTTCAAAACCAACCAATCATTACAAAGAGATAATTACCAAGATCTACATTTTCAAAAGGGCTTCCACTTGCAAACACTATATTTTCTCCAGCATGACTGAAAGCTTCAATAGCAGTGCACTCAGCTGTCCCATTCAAACAGAACAATCGTCAAAAATGAAAAAATGGGACATTATTAAACAACTGAGTGCTTAATGAGCCATGTACAAACAAACCATTCATGGTGGGATTAGACATGGCAAAGATAGCAGGTTTTGTTGAAACAGATTCTCTCATTGCCTTAAGCACCTGAGTTGAATCTCAACCATTAAAATGAAGAAACCCAATTACAATAAAATCAAAGGATGCAGAACCCAAAGATGTCAAAACAAGACATTTTCAAACATGTCTATTTCATATAATTATGGAATATACTTTACTGAGGAATAAAACATAATAAGAGTAGGCATTATACAAGGTAAGTACCTCCGCATTGAAAACACCACCAACTCCAGACAATCCAAGGAGCACGTGTGGCTTAACCTTCTTAACCTAAAGAGCATTAGGTTCAACAATTGAAGCATGGATATCAATGATTATGCATAATCTTTATTCTTTAATATTATCATCATTTAAGTATCCTCTTATAGAAAAATAATTGTTTATAAAATATAAAATAAAAAAGCATGAAAGTCAATGGAGTTTTTCTCAAACAAATTCAGTAGCATTTACCACTTCAACAATACTAGCACCCTCTGTAAGCCCTTCAAGATCTCTTGGATTTTTGGCAAATGGAACTGCAGCTGGATCCAGATTGCTCCTTTCTGTCGTGACAAGGCCCTGCATTTAAGGAATCATAACATTACTAAAAGACATGATGTATCATAACAATTGAATCACATACATACAATGAAATAACTGAATCCAAAAAAGAATGTCAAGAGGCAAGTATGTATCATGGCATTAACCATATAAATGAAGACAAATTAAAACAGAATCTGATGAAAAATATAATAATATTTGGATAACAAAGTTGAACCAAAATCATAAGAGAACCGGATCATGTGTTACTATGAATACAACTATGGTTGTTGAGAGCTGCAACTTAAAGCACTAACAATGAAAGTATAGACGATGGAAGCATACATCTTTATCAATCAAGAAAAATTGACTTTTGGGAGCAGACCCTGACATCATTGAAACAGCCTGGACAGCCATGTTAAGAACACCAAGCCCTGCACTGCCCACCAGGAAAAAGAGTATCATGTAAAACAAAACTGGACAGTCTTTTGGCAGCATGTTAAGCCAGAAAGTAGCAATAATGTGGCGCATGATAGAATAACAAAACAAAATGGATAGCCAAAAAAGATTACATCAAAATTAGTTTTGGAAGTACCTTCCAGCTCCAACCACAACTATCTTTTGCTTCAAAATATCAGACAGTGGTAGACCTTGGGCTCTTACAGTTCCCAATAGTCCAGCAAGTGCAACACCTGCTGTGCCCTATTGGACAAATGAAATGAAGAAAAATTGAAGTTTCAGTAGTCACTTCAAGAACACAGTGCATTACTCAACACCTTGAAGATTTTAAATATTAACAAAATATAATATCACTTTCTCACCTGTATATCATCATTAAACATACAAAACTTTTTTCGATATCGGTTCAGGGTCTCAAAAGCCCACTTCATTTGGAAATCCTCAAACTGATAAAATTATCCAATCATCCAGTTACTAAATTAATAAAATCTAAACTGAACATAGAGAACAACATGTTCCAAAAGAAATACAAACCTGCACAATAGCCTTGGGCCATCGAGCATAAACAGCTTCCATGAATTCATCTACAATTGATAAATACTCTTCACCTTCCAACCTAGGTTGTCGAACTCCTAAATCTGTTGCATGAAAATGATGTCAGAATACAATAACTTTTATAATGTCAACTACAAGGAATTATCATTTTAGTTTTTTGCATGCTCAAGAGATCAAGAATGTCAAAGTAATCAAAGAATCCAATTCCAACACATCAAAAAACATCTTGGGAGCAGAAGTTTGTCAGATATACTCAACTAACAAAAGCAGAAAAACCATTCCCTACAAGGTTATATTACTCAATTGGAACCACATAATTTAGGATACAGAAAAACATGAGATCTTTCTCAGTTTACAAAGTAAATGGTGTCCATGGTGAGAAAAGCAACTAACAGAATTGAGTTACTCACAAAGGGGATCGTCCAGTAGCTTTTGATTGTTTGTGCCAACATCTAACATAACTGGAAGTATCTGCAACAATTGGAAAAACAACATACCATACAAGTTAAACCAGAGTTACTAGCCTTACCAAGTTGCAGTTAAAAAGAAAACATAATTAAAATGTTATTCAAAACCAATAATTATTTTATTAAAATATTAAGATATCATGAACCCATTTGTGAAACTAGATTTGTTCAGCATCATAAAACAGTTAACAACCCAGTCCATAGATGTTAAGAATGAACGTATCATTCCCCCAGCCTGCAAAAAATAATGCAATTATCCCTTTCCCTGGGAAAAAAAAAACCTATACCATTACCAGGCCTACATCACCAGGTCATGATCAATAAATTATATCACATGACGTATGCTATTGCTAACATTTAAAATATTAACGACAAAGTTATACCAAACATGCAGAAAACACACAATTTGAGAGGAAATTAAAGATACAAGGAGAAAGGAAGGGGCAAAACACATACTCTTTGTGCGTTGATACCAGCAGCAGCAACATACATGTCAAGTTTTCCTATAGGTATTCCAATGCCCTGAACTCCAAGGTCACCCAAGCCAAGAATACGACTACCATCTGTCAGCACAATCATGTCTACCTGAAACAGGGAAACCAGATGTTTATAACCGATAATAATAAAGCAAGCCAGGAAACAATTACTGAACCAAAAAACTCCTAAATTCTGGCAAGGCATAGTCACATAATAATTGAACTGTACCCAATTACCAGAACATTTTTCATTGATGTTAGGTATGTAAAGAGAAAAGACATGAAGTAACCTCCACAATCACAACTAAATACCTAAATAATTGGAAACTTTCTAAAACAAAACCTTAAAAATGAGCATCAATTTCATGCAAGGTAGATAAAGCAAAATAATGTCTCAATAATGAAACAAGAATAAAGTACTCAAACCTCTAGATTTTCCTATGTTTTCAACTACCTAAATTTTATAAAACTAATGCCTCCATTTTTTATCATGAATAAAAAGAAAAGGGATATAGCATTTTACCAAGTTGAATTCAATACCTCTTGAGCTGGCCAGTTATAGATCATTGACATCATCTCTCCTTTATCTTTGGCACTAAAATACATTCCTCGCGGGCGTCTAAATAACCCTGAATAATTTTGACACACTAACCCAACTGTAGGAGTATAGATTATTGGAGCAAACTCTTTGATGTTATCAATAAGAACCTGAAGAGAATGAAAGGTAACGACATAAGAGTCAGACAATAATAATTTTGATGATATATTCTCACATTAGAAAGCCAACTTCATCATCAAACTCACTCTGTAATACAGAGTCTCGTTTCTGTCATGCAGTCTATTTAAGATCCTCCATTTTGCTAAAGAAACAAATTTATCAGATTGGCCGTGTGTATTCTTCTCCAAAGATCTATATGAATCCACTGAAAAATAATAACAACAATAATATATTGTAGCTGTCAAATATTACCAAAGAAGAAACAAACATGAAGCCAAAACACTAGCGTTGTATGAAATACAGTGTAAAGACGGGCAAGCGATAATTGCTGAGAGTGAACAACAGATACATATAGCATGAAAAGGTTATGTTCAAAACTTACTAAAGCGATCATATTGATGCTCAAATGAAATGACACGAGGAGGAAGGAGACCCCGAAGCCCCAATCGATCCCTTTCAGTTAAAGGAAACCCAGTATCCTGCATTCCGAAATTTAAAAAAAATATATATATTTAGGATCACAGACAATGACCAAACACAGCCATGAGTAGCTTAATTTTTTATGACAGATAGTTAACACAATATATTTTTCTCAACAAACAGCATCTTGTAACGAATCCATATTCAACATTTATCCAAACTAACTTAAAACGTTAAATATCAATATCAATAGCTAGGAGACCTTAAAGATTTTTCTACACCTTAGATTCTACCTTCATATAATTTCATGCATGTCACACTAGTTACAAGATTACATACTTTCTCCTCGAATAAACCAAATCACAGAGCCATAATTTTATTAGGAAAATTCACTCGGGAAGATATTAAATTACCATCAAAAGAATGTATCTGAACTAATTCAGCATCCGCTGAGAAAGCAAGAATAAAATATATAAACATTCAGTTTCATTCTTTTTTCAGAAACCACGTTAATTTTCTACCAAAACAATCCTACTCAACCACATCGACAAAATCGTGGTCCGAGTAATTAACAGAACTGGTTACTAAGAATCAAATTCGAAGAACAACCAGAGTTGTGAATAAAAAATAAAAAAAAATCAATTTGAAGACCACTAGTTAAGCAAAACAACCCCACACCCTCACACTTGTTGATCTACATGCTCTATCATAATATGTTGTTTGATTAAAATAAAATAAAATTGCTAATACCACATGAAAATCTAGCTCCTAAATCACTTTTCAGGTTAAAGTGAGTTTCCTTTCCAACAAATAAATCAAACTAACAGCAAACAAATTCACCAACTCAATAAAATAAATATAAATAAAAAAGTTAATTAAATAAAAACATATATAAAAATAAAAACAAAATAATAAAAAAGTTAGCGAAGTGAAAAGCAGTGTGGATCGGAAGTGAGAGTGAACCTTGTTGAACCAAGGATCGTGGAGGATATCAGTGCCGCGTTTGTGGACCTTGCATGGACCGGGAATCGCCGTCGAGAACCGCCGCGATCTGGAGGCGGCGAATCGCGCAACCTTCCACATTCTCCGAAACGCAAATCGAAACCAAATGAAACGCACCAACGCTAACTTCTACCACCACGCTTAAGCGAATTTATTCAGAATAAATGGTTTTGGTTTTGGTTTTGGTATTTTTGCGAGCGCATTTTGAAGGAGAAAAATGTGTGCGAGGTGGGAAGTGAGGTAGGTGGTATTGGAGCAGGAGCGCCAGGGTATTTATACAGTCAGGAGCTTTCTCTCTCTAACTTTCTCTCTCTTCTGAGAGAGGTGAAACAGTTTGAAGCGGTTGTTGCAGGTGCTGCCCGTTGGGCAAATGCACGAGGCGGAAATCTGCCCGAGAGAGATTCGGGCAGGAAATACACACAGATAGTGACTAACTTGGTTCAATAAAACGTGTTTTTCTTTTTTTACATAAAAATAATTAAAGCTTCCCGTGCGTGCCTACCCCTTTTAAGTCAATAACTCATAATTCTCTTTCTCCCCTTTTTTTTTCCGTATTAGTCTAATTTATTAATTAAATAAAATGGAAAGTGAGGTTATTTTATGAGTTATTTAATTAAAATGTGAAATTAAAAAATCCTCTTGTTTAATTTTATAGAAAGTCAAAAAATGATATGTGTATAGAATGAAGAATGTTTCTAATACAAAATATATAAAAATATGGGGATTTTTTCTACGGTAAAATTCTTTCTTCTTTTTTTTTTCTTCATTCTAAAAACGGAAAGATTGTTGTAAAAGTAGGTCTTGCTTTTCTTTTTTCTTCACTCTTTCAGATC